CCTATTGATCAGGCATGAGTGTTTGACAAGTAAGGTGCCAGCTTGGCCTATAGGCTGGCAAAGAGAGAGACCATCTTCTGGGTGCATGTCAAGTTAATAATGAAGATGACTCTTCCAAGAAGATTTGAGCTCATGCTGTAGATGAGCATAAAGGTAGAGCTTTCTGGGTGACCTACAACTAATCACTTCCCTTCTCTTTGCCTGTTTCTGCGCTGTGAAATGAGAGGATTGTCTGGTTTCACTCCCACCAGTCTATGATTCCAAATTGGTAACTTTCATCCCCAAGGATGGGGTTAGACCCTTAGGGTTTGCTAATAAAACCATCTACAGAGAATGAGAATTTGTTTCTTAATTCAAAACTCAATTTTACCTGCAGGTTAGAGGGGCCACAGGGGAAAGAAAAGAACCCCTGCCTGCTCGCATGCAACCTAGATCATAACATCTGAGCATCAAAGATGACTGAATGAGGGCAGAGATCCCCACGATCTAGTCGTGCTGTTCATCCTGCAGAGCCCAGCCACAATGTCACCTCCTTAGGGAAGTCTTCCCTAACCCTTCTGGTTGGGACCTTCCTTGTGCCGGGGCTCCGTCTCTGTTCCAGCTGCTGGAAACACAGACATGACTGAGACACCATCCAGCAACTAAGGGGCTTCCCACTATGGTGTGAGACATACAGAGGGGTCCCAGACAAGACACTGAGTGACTCCTTACTTGGGGGAATCAGAGGCTTCTCAGAGGAGGTAATACCAGAGTCTTGTCACAGGCATCCAATCTGACTCTGATCCAGTGTCTGGATCTAGCTGCTAATTTGCAGGCAGTACTGAGGACAGAGGAGCTTACTGGATTGCACTGAGAGTTTGCAGTAAGCAATATCTAGACTGTGGGAAACTTTCCAGGTCCAGTGGCCCAGGGTCCTCAACAGACACACTGCAAGGAAATGAAAGGGAAGGAAGAGACACCTACTGATAGAAAAAAAGCTTCTATCCATGTTTTTTAAATGAGCAAGGCTAAACCATAGTGTATAAAGATGAATTAGGTGATAAACTAAAATGCAAGGAAGTGATTAGAGAGTAAGGATACTTCTAGCCCCAGGGGGGGTTATGATTGGGAGGGGCACATAAAAAAGCTTTCTGTATCTGGCAAAATTCTCTGACTTGGATGGTGTTCCCCTTATAATTCATTAAGGCATTCACTTAATTTGTGTGGTTTTCAAATCTGTATTTTATTATTTATTCATTTATTTTTTGAGACGGAGTTTCACTGTTGATACACAGACTGGAGTGCAATAGCGTAATCTCGGCTCACCACACCCTCCGCCTCCTGGGTTCAAGCAATTCTCCTGCCTCAGCCTCCTGAGTAGCTGGGACTACAGGCACACACGACCATGCCCAGCTAATTTTTTGGTATTTTTAGTAGAGACGGAGTTTCACCTTGTTGACCAGGATGGTCTCGTTCTCTTGACCTCATGATCCACCCACCTCGGCCTCCCAAAGTGCTGGGATTATAGGCGTGAGTCACCGCGCCCGGCCCTCGAATCTGTGTTTTATTGTAGAGTAAAGGATTTAAAAACATATTTCTCCAGGCTGGAATATTGAGCTAAAACTCATAGCATGAGGCGTAATATATATAATTGCCAAATTCTGGTCTATGTTTTAAAAAATATCCTGGGGTTTTAGCTGCCCACAAATGACTGTGTCTGCCTGCATGGCTCTCAAAATGCAGTACCAGAGGCCCTGTGTTTTGCTCTGGACACTGGGGAGGAGCAAAAGGGAGGACTCTACCTGGGGCAACCAGCAGGGGTAGAGGCTTTGCAGCTTTAGCCCTTCCCATTAGGGAGGACTACTTATAACTCTGGATGGAGGAACCCCGGTCACACAGAGCTCATCATGAGGTCTCAAGGGTCAAGTCCCATTGCAGAAGGTGCTGCTATGATGGTGGGTGGCCTGTGATCCCCTTGCTCCTGCAAGATACAGGCTCTGAGGTAGAAACCTAGAATTTTAGGACACAAGGCATTTAGAACACAGCTCTTTCAATTGTAGAATTTTACAATGAAGAAACTGAAGCCCAGGGAGTATAAGTGATTTAATGGAGGTCATGCAACAAACTCAATATATGTGTCCCTTTCTGCCCCTGCCTTCACTTCTGTCCTCATTCCTTAAGCCAATGACCTACCTCTGGCTCCACGGGCGTGCATATAGATACCTGCTGGCCTTTAAGGTAGTTATAAGATTTCTGTTCCCCAGGTTCACCCTGGTGCTTCTATCTGACTTCTTCACTTCTAGTTCCTCTCACCAACCTTGACCTGCTTCCAGTCCTTCATCTTTGAATACCCATGTTTCCCCAAACATCTTTGTATTGACTTCTTTTGTACCTTGCACTTTTTTTTTTTTAGATGGTTTTTCACTCTGTCTCCCAGGCTGGAGTGTAGTGGCACTGTCTCAGCTTACTACAACCTCTACCCTCTGGGCTCAAGCAATTCTCCCACCTCAGCCTCCCCAGTAGCTGGGACTACAGGCATGTGCCACCATGACTAATTTTTTTGGTATTTTAAATAGAGACAGGGTTTCACCATGTTGGGCAGGCTGGTCTTGAACTCCTGACCTCAAATGATCCGCCTGCCTCAGCCTCCCAAAGTGCGGGGATTATAGGTGTGAGCCACCGCACCTGGTAATTTTTTAATTTTTGTAGAGATGGAGTTTTGCTGTGTTGTCCAGGCTGGTCTCAAACACCTGACCTCGAGAGATCCATCTGCCTTGGCCTCCCAAAGTGCTGGGATTACAAGTGTGAGCCACCGCGCCCAGCCCCTTGCACTTCTCCTATATTGACTTTGACTTGGCTCGTCCCCCAGCCCTCCACTGGCATGGAATTTTCTGCTCTAGCTCCTTCAGAAAACCCAATGTTCAGTCTTGAAGCTCCTTCTCATCAGGAATTTGAAGGAACAGGATTCAAGGCAATATCCAGTAGAGCAGGACTTTTCACCTTCCTACCCTTATCCCTGAATATCTGGACTCTGTCTAGGCTAAGGCACTTGCCAGAAAAGGCCTCAATTTGTATTTCTTAACACTTTCATGATGACACTGACACCCTAGCTCAGCATTACCTTCAAAAGCCAAGAACATCTCTTTCATTTCTTGGGATCTTAGAGAAAAGGTCAACATTTCTTTGCTGCCTGGGCCCTCCACCTTGTCTGGGATAACCTGAGACTCTGCTGACATTCAATCTACCTAAAGCTCCTCATGGTCAACTGTGCAACAGGCCTCAGGGAAAGTAATGTGGTTTTTGAGGGCTACATTACCAGAAATACGGGGTATAGAATGACAGAGGCGAAGTTCCATTTATAAGACTCTATCTGGAGTAGTAAGTTCAATACTGAGTGTTAAAATTGAAGAGGACAGACAGAGGAGTGTGTTCAAAACAGGGTCCAGGAATGGGAGGAGGCGCTCAATGTCATGTTATTAATACATTAAATTGGACTGTTTATCCTCGAGATGATGTGGGGAGTGTCGTAACTGGCTGCGGGGAAGATGCAAAGGGTCCGTTCACCAGGGCTGGGAAAGAAGCGCCCACCAGTTGAACAATATGGTTTGCTTTGTAGACAGGAAGATAGGTGGTGCCCACGGCCTGCATAACTCACCTTCCAAGGAACAATCCAGAAACCACCGTTCCGGAAACTCAAGCACCCTCTCTGGAAAGTTGCCCCGCCATAACACGAGCAAATCGGGCGAGACCCAAGTCTCAGTGAAGAGGACTCCCGCTCTGCGAAGTGTGGCCGGAGGAAAGGAAACGCGGGGACCTGCGGCGAGGGTCGAGCTCATCGGCAAGGTGGAACCTGGAGTCTCGAAGCCCAGGGGCACTGGTCCCGGCAGACTATAGAGCCCGGGGCAGGAGAGGAACTGGAGGGCGTCTGAACAGAATCCGAAAATGGAAAAAATGCCACGTAGAAGAAGGGACGGCGTACGTGGAGAAAACCGACTTCCCACAGCCACACTCTAAAACCCCAGGCCTCAGGCACGGACGGGGTTCGAACCCGCGATCTTCGGTTTACGAGACCGACGCCTTACCACTTGGCCACCGCGCCTGACAGCCCAGGGAGCGGTGGAAGCTCTCAGTGGAGGGGAGGTGGTACCGGCTGGAAGCTGCGGCCTCGGCCCCGCCCCGGCTCCGGCCCCGCCCCCTCCCCGCCCCCACCGGTCCCACCCGCAATCACTGGCCCAGTTCAGCGAGCACCGCTTCCGCCCGCTGAGGGCCACGTCCCGCGCCCGCAGTCTGCGGGACCCGAACCCGCATCTTGAAAGAGCCCGGCCCTACTCCAACCCTCCTCGTCCGCCGTGAGCTCTGCCCCAGGACCCACCCCGCACCCAGAGCAGGCGGCGGCTAGGCGGCGGGGTCGAAAGCGACGGCACAGAGCCGGCCCGAGTCGGAGAGAAAACTGGGCTGAGGCGGAAGCGGAAGCGGAGACGGCGGCCACGGAGCGGGCCGAGGAGTGTGTGACCCTGGCCGGGTCATTTCCGTCAGGCCGGACAGGATCCGTGGGCGGCTCAGGCCGGGTCGGTGGAGACCAGCGCTCAAGAAGAAGGGCGGCGCGGCCGGCGCTCCGAGGAAGACTCGGGGAGTCCGGGGCGTGGGGTCGGGCTCCGGGGCGCCGGGAGGCGACTTCTCTCGCTGGCCCTGCACGAAGCACGACCCTCCCCGGGTTCAGCTCGCGCTCCCTGCTGCAGCCCCTGGCAGACAGGACTCTGAGCATCTGTGCAGCCTGGATGACCTTGCCCAGGAGGAGCCGAGGTGGGCATGCCAGGAGGGGCCCCCAGTGATGTCACGGCGACCCGAATGGCGGAATCACACAGTCTGTCCTACCGCGGAGCAGTAGGTCATTATGAACCATCCGGATTCCAAGGACTGATTGTCAGCATAGGCACAGCGCAGAAACTAACGTGAAGATTGGCCGGAAAAACAAAGGGGAGAGGGAGCCTGGGACTGGGGATGGGGGACAAAGGGGACTTTAACTTAATTGGCAGTGTTTTGTTTCTATTCTACGGAAGAGGCAGAGGTGAGCGGCTGGGAACATGAGTGCTTATTAGGATACTGTATACTATTTTGGTAAATCTTTTCTTATTTAAAAAAGGGGGATTAGGCCCGTCTGTCCTTGTTTGGACTGTGGCCACCAGCATCTGTTCCAGGAGAGAGGTGAGTGTGCATGGGTGAGGCAAGAGAAGCCCTTCTCTTAGGCAGGGCTCCGGCTCGCTGGGGTCAGCCACCCTGCCACCACCACTGCCAAATTAAGCCGTATTTGTGTGTAGAACTTTGTCTTTTTTTTTGAGACAGAGCTATTGTCGCCCAGGCTGGAGTGCAATGGGGCGATCTCGGCCCACTGCAGACTCCCCTTCCCGGGTTCAAGCAATTCTGCTTCAGCCTCCCAAGCAGCTGGGATTACAGGCGCCCACCCCCATGCCCGGCTAATTTTTTGTATTTTTAGTAGAGATGGGGTTTCATTATGTTGGCCAGGCTGCTCTCGAACTTCCCACCTCAGGTATCACCTGCCTCAGTGTCCGAAAGTGCTGGGATTACAGGTGTGACCCACCACGCCCAGCTAGAACTTTTAATAAATATATATCATTATTAAATAGATACTTATTTAAATATATAGTTATTTAATAACTATATATATAGAGAGAGGAGATTTGAGAAAATCCAGGAATGCTTTTGTTTGTGTGTGGTAAAAATAAAATTTACCTTTTTAACCATGTTTAAGTTCAGTAGTAAGTACACTCACGTTATTGTATCACCAGTCTACACAGTTCTTGTCATCTTGCAAAACTGAAGCCCAGTAGATAATGCACAGCAATTCCCCTTTTCTTCATCACCCCAGCCCCTGGCAACCACCATTCTAGTCTCTGTTTCTGAGTTTGACTACTCCAGGTACCTCCTGTAAGTGGAAACATACAGTATTTGTCTTTTTGTGAATTAGCATAATGTTTTCAATTTTTGCTGTGGTGTAGTATATGATGGGATTTCCTTTTTAAGACTGAATGGTATTCCATCGTATGTATATGCCACGTGTTATCCATTCATTGGTTGGCGGACAGATGCCTCCACCCCTTGGCTATTATGAATAATGTGTCGATGAACATGTGCGCAAATAGTTTTGAGATAGTTTTCCATTCTTGTGCATATATGCCCAGAAGTGGGACTCTTGGATCATATAATTCTATTTTTAACTTTTTGAGGAATCTCCGTACTGTTTACCATAATGGCTGTACCTTCCTGCCAGTGTTGCATAAGGATTCTGATTTCTCTGCATCCTTGCCAACACTTGTTGTTTTCTGTTTTGTTTTTTATAGTGGCCATCCGCACAGATGTGAGGTGATATCTCATTGTAATTTTGATGTGCATGTCCCTGATGATTTGTTATATTGAATCTTTTTAAATGCTTGTTAGCCATTTATATATCTTCTTCAGAAAAATATCTATTCAAGTCTTTTGCCCCCTGCCCCCAAAAATAGAGACAGGGTCTTACTCTGTCACCCAGGCAGGAGTGCAGTGGTGCCATCATAGCTCACTATAACTTTCAATTCCCAGGCTCAATCGATCCTCCCACCTGAACCTCCCAAATAGCTAGGACTGTAGGCATGCACCACCAGGCCCACTGTGTGTGTGTAGCTAGGAGCCTAGCTTATTTTTTGTAGAGACTGAAACTCAGGCTCAAATGATCTGCCTGCCTCAGCCTTCCAAATTGTTGGGATTACAGGCATGAGCTACTGTGCTCGGGCAAGGTACACTTTTAAGGTCATGGGAAATGCCCATGAATTCCTTTTGCTACAGTCACAAGTGAGAGGACACTATAAAATAGTGTCAGAACACTATGAAATACAGTATGAGTCAGATTCTCCTATTATATATACTGTATTTCATTAAATTTACTAAATTGATTTTTTTAAACTTTTTTTATATGCCACTAAGGAAAAAAATCAATTAATTATAAGACTCCACGGTCTCAACAGCTGTCATTTGACTTCAAATTCACAAAACATGAAAAAGCCATGTATCTCAGAATAAATGAATTCCATTGTTTTATACATACGTAAACACACACAAAGTGCTTCTCTCTTGTGGTATGACTTCAGGCCCTTTGAATTTTCCTCTTTATGCTTTTTTGTTTTTTGAGACTGAGTCTCAGTCTATTGCCCAGGCTGGAGTGCATGGCACTATCTCAGCTCACTGCAACCTCCGCCTCCCAGGTTTAAGCAATTCTGCCTCAGCTTCCCAAGTAGCTCGTATTACAGGCATGTGCCACCACATCCGACTAATTTTTGTATTTTACTAGAGACAGGATTTTACCATGTTGGCCAGGCTGGTTTCAAACTCCTGACCTCAAGTGATCTGCCTGCTTTGGCCTCCCAAAGTATTGGGATTACAGGTGTGAGCCACCATGTCTGGCCTCCTCTTTATGCTTTTAAAAACTGTTCTCTCTGGACTCTTCAACTAATGATGCTGGAAAAATTGGATATCCACATGCAAAAGAATGAAGTTGGACCCTAACCTATCGCCATATACAAAAATTATCTCAAAATGGATTCAAGACGGGCTGGGCGCAGTGGCTCATGCCTGTAATCCCAGCACTTTGGGAGGCTGAGGTGGGCAGATCACAAGGTCAAGAGATTGAGACCATCCTGGCCGACATGGTGAAACCCCGTCTCTACTAAAAAAAATTCAAAAATTAGTTGGGTGTGGTGGCGCACACCTGTAGTCCCAGCTACTCAGGAAGCTGAGGCAGGAGAATTGCTTGAACCCAGGAGGTGGAGGTTGCAGTGAGCCGAGATTGTGCCACTGCACTCCAGCCTGGTGACAAAATAAGACTCGGTAAAAAAAAAAAAAAAAAAAAAAAAAGGATTCAGGACATAAACATAAGACCTATAACTATAAAAATCCTGAAAGAAAACAGTGGGAAAGGTCTTTGACATTAGATGTAGCAATGGTTTTTCTGGATATGACACCAAAAGCAAGAATAGACTAATGGGACTACATCAGACTTAAAAACTGCTCAGCAAAGGAAACAACTGAATGAATGGGAAAAAATACTGCAAACCAGATATCTAATAAGGGATTAATATCCAAAATAAAACTTAGACTCCTACCACTCAAAAAACAATTCAAACATGGGCAAAAGGCTGGGTATGGTTGCTTATGCCTGTAATCCCAGGCTTCCCTTGGGAGGCCCAGATGGGAGGATCACTTGAGGCTGGTAGTTTGAAACTAGCCTGGGTAATAATGTGAGACCTCATTTCTACAAAAAAGAAACTAAAACAAGTAAGGCAGGCAGGCATAGCACCTATAGTCCTAGCTACTTGGTAGGCTGAGGCATGAGGATCACTTGAGCCCAGGAATTCAAGGTTGCAGTGAGCTGTATGATTGTGCTACTGTACCCTAGTCTGGCCAGCACAAGAAAAAAAAAATAAAGTGTTATCTTTTCATCAGTTATAAAAGGCGCTCAACTCTTGTGCAGGGGAAGCTGTGCAGTTGGGAGGGCAGAGAGTATGTGGAAACTCTGTGCTCAGTTTTGCTGTGAATCTAAAACTGCTCTGAAAAATTAAGTCTGTGAAAAGAAAGAAATGAATTACCAAGTCATGAAAACACACGAAAGAACCTGAAATGTATAGTACTAAGTGAACATGCATATTATTGATATGGTTTGAATGTGTCCCCTAAAGTTCATGGGTTGGAAACTCGATCCCCAGTGTGGTGGTCTTGGAGATGGGAACTAGTGGGAAGTGTTTGGGTCATGGGGCCACCACCCTGATAAATGCATTAATGCCATTCTCAAGGGAGTGGGTTCATTATGGAGCAAGTAGTTTTCTTAGAAAAGAAGTTTGCAGGGCACCCGACTTCCGCCTTCTGGTCCAGTTGTGGGCTGCGTCCCACCCCAGCCCGCGCCCCGCATGGCTGCGTGCCGGCCGGACCTGTGGAGCTGGGCTTTGCCGAGTTGGCGCGGGCATGGCGACTGCGCAGTGGGCAGTTCCCCACCAAGGTAGGCGGGCGGCCGGCGTGGCTGGGCGCGTCCGGGCTGCCGGGTCCCGGGGCCCTGGCCTGCGCGCAGTGCGGCCGCCCGCTCTCCTTCCTGCTGCAGGTGTATGCGTCGCTACCCTGCCACGCCAACGCCTTCCACCGCGGCGTCTTCCTTTTCTGCTACCGCGAGCCGCCATGCTGTGCCAGCCTGCGAGTTTTTAGGAATCAGCTACCCAGGAAAAATGATTTTTATTCATATGAGCCACCTTCTGAGAATCCTCTCCCGGAAACCGAATCAGTGTGTCTCCAACTTAAGTCTGGTGCGCATCTATGCAGGGTTTGTGGCTGCTTAGGCCCCAAAACATGCTCCAGATGCCACAAAGTGTACGACTGCAGCAAGGAGCATCAGACCCTAGACTGGAGACTGGGACATAAGCAGGCTTGCGCACGACCCGATCATTTGGACCATATAATTCCAGACCACAACTTCCTTTTTCCAGAATTTGAAATTGTAATAGAAACAGAAGATGAAATATTGCCTGAGGTTGTGGAAAAGGAAGATTACTCAGAGATTATAGGGAGCATGGGTGAAGCACTTGAGGAAGAACTGGATTCTATGGCAAAACCTGAATCCAGGGAAGAGAAAATTTTTCAGAAGTTTAAAACTCAGATAGCCCTTGAACCAGAACAGATTCTCAGATATGGCAGAGGTATTGCCCCCATCTGGATTTCTGGTGAAAATATTCCTCAAGAAAAGGATATTCCAGATTGCCCCTGTGGTGCCAAGAGAATATTTGAATTCTAGGTCATTCCTCAGCTCCTAAACTACCTGAAGGCTGAAGGACTGGGCAAGAGCCTTGACTGGGGCATCCTGGCTGTCTTCACCTGTGCTGAGAGCTGCAGCTTGAGTATTGGCTATACAGAAGAATTTGTGTGGAAGCAGGATGTAACAAATACACCATAAGGGCATCTTAAAGCCTTCAGATATGTGAATCATCTTTACACCTTGCAATTCCATTTCTGGGACTTTATCCTAAGGAAATACTTATACCAAAAATAGAGGTGCAGAGATGTTGAGACATTGCTTACACAGTGTCTACATATTAGTGAAACAAAAGTGTCCAGTGACAGAGAATTAAATAAATTTTGGTACATCCACAAAATAAATAAATTAATTAATTAAATAAGTAAAAGAAGTTTGCAAAGACTGTACTTTCAAGGATCATTTCTATAGTTCGTTACTAGAGAACACCAGATGCCAGCTCCTCAATCTTTGACTTCCCAGCCTCCAGTCCCATGAGCCAATACATTTCTGTATGTTATAAATTACCTAGTCTATGGTATTCTGTCTTAGCAGCACAAAATGGACTGAGACAAGGTAATCTGAAAAGGCTACATACTATTACGTGACATTCTAAAAAAGGTGCAACTATGGAGACAGCAAAAACATCAATGGCTGCCAGGGGCTGAGGGGTGGGAAGGATGAATAGATAGTGCACAGAGGGTTTTTAGGGCAGCCAAACTATTCTGCATGATATAATGGTGGGTACATGTCATTATATACTTGTCAAAACCCATAGAGGGGTTCTGGGTTGGGAAAAATAAAAATATCCCAGAGAACATACAACACCAAGAGTGAACCGTAGTGTAAACTATGGACTTTGAGTGATGATGTGTCATCAGTTATAATAGATGTACCACTCTAGTGGGGGATGTTGATGGTAAGGGAAACTAGGGAGGTTCAGGGACCATGAGTATATGGGGAACTCTGTGCTTTCTGCTCAGTTATGCTGTGAACCTAAAACTGCTCTTTAAGTATGTTTTACAAGGCTGAGCACAGTGGCTTATGCCTGTAATCCTAGCACTTTGGGAGGCCGAGGCAGGTGGATTACGTGAGTTCAGGAGTTTGAGACTAGCCTGGGCAACATGGTGAAACTGTTTCTACTAAAATACAACAAATTAGCTGGGCATGGTGGTGCATGCCTATAATCCCAGCTACTTGGGAGGCTGAGATAGGAGAATCGCTTGAACCCGAGAGGCAGAGGTTACAGTGAGCTGAGATCGTGCCACTGTACTCCAGCCTGGGCGACAGAACGAGACTCCGTCTCAAAAAAAATGTCTATTTTACAAAAATGGGGCTGGGCTAAGTGACTGACACCTATAAGGTCAGGAGTTCAAGACCAGCTTGTCTCTACTAAAAATACAAAAATTAGCCAAGCATGGTTGTATGCACCTGTAGTCCCAGCTACGCAGGAAGTTGAGGCAGGAGAATCACTTTAAACCAGGAGGTGGAAGTTGCAATGAGCTAAGATTGTGCCACTGCACTCCAGCCTGGGCAACAGAGCAAGACTCCATTTCCAAAAATCAAAACAAAAAAAAATAATTCTTGAATCCTTTCCTCTCTGACCCCCATGCTATGAATCATTATCAATGCTGGGCCACACTGTGGTTGCTGTTTCGTGAGGTCACTGTGGGTTCACTCAGGTCTGCTTCTCAGCTAGGTAGACCTAGGAGCTGGTTCTGGAACACAGAGTGGGCAGGAATCAAGCCTTATTCACCTTGATACAGCATGGTCATAAGAGCACCCAGTCATTCTTTCTGCAAATCACTGAGTACCTACTGTGTGCCAAATACTATTCTCAATGCTAGGGCTATAGCGGTGAACTAAGCAGCACAGAGCTCCGCCCTTATGGAGCTTCCATTCTTAAATAAGCAAAACATATAGTGTATCAGTTGATGAGAAGTGCTAGGGAGAACAATACAGCAGAGAAGGAGGACAGGACATTTTTGGGGAGGGGGAGGGTTGCAGTTTTGAATAGATGGTTGCCCACTGTGGTGGCTCATGCCTGTAATCCCAGCACTTTGGGAGGCTGAGGCGAGTGAATCACCTGAGGTCAGGAGTTCAAGACCAGCCTAGCAAACATGGTGAAACCCCATCTCTACTACAAATACAAAAAATTAGCCAGGCATGGTGGTAGCCACCTGTAATCCCAGCTACTCGGAGGCTAAGGCAGGGAAATCACTTGAACTGGGGAAGCAGAGGTTGCGGTGAGCCGAGATCGCACCACTGCATTGCAGCCTGGGCAACAGCCAGACTTCATCTCATAAATAAATAAGTGGGATAGGTTAAATGCAGTCACAACTTCTTTGCAGCTTTTCCCTCGTAGAGGTGGAGGCTATACCCCCACTCTTTGGTACAGGCCGGCCATGGGGCTTGCTTTGACTGAAAGAATGTGGCAAAAGTGATGTTATGTAAGTTCTGAAGCTTAAGGCCCCAAAAGAGGCAGCTTCTGCCTCCACTGTCTTAGGAAATTGCCCTGAGAATGCTGTGGAAGGAAGGCAGTTTAGCTACTGAAGGTAGAGCGGCCCCGAGGAGTCATTCCAGCCAACAGCCAGCACCATCTGCCAGACATGTCAGGCGGCCATCTGGGACCTTCCAGTTCTGCTGACCCGTCAGCTGGATGTAGCTGCAGGAGTAAGCCCAGGCATACCCAGCAGAGGAACTGCCAGCCTGCCACAGAATCGGGACAATGATAAATCATTGCACTAGGATTTGTTACATAGAAGCAATAGTTCATTGATACAGGAGGTCATATGCGGCTTACACACCTTTCACTTATTTGTTCGTTTATTTAGAGACAGGGTCTGGCTCTGTTGACCAGGCTGGATTCCCTCTGGGATAGGGGATCTGCTGAGAGGAAGCCTGATGGAGAGGAAATTGGAGCCCTGGTGTTTCAGGTACTTACTCCTATGTCTAATCACCTATCCCAACATTTACGTCTTTTTTTTTTTTTTTTTTTTTGTAGATGGAGTCTTGCTCTTGTTGCCCAGGCTGGAGTGCAGTGGCAAAACCTCTGCTCACTGCAACCTCTGCCTCCCAGGTTCAAGCAATTCTCCTGCTTCAGTCTCTCAAGTAGCTGAGATTACAGGCATGCACCATTGTGCCTGGCTAATTGTGTATTTTTAGTAGAGATGGGTTTCTCTGTGTTGCTCAGGCTGGTCTCAAACTCCTGACCTCAGGTGATCTGCCTGCCTTGGCCTCCCAAAGTGCTGGAATTACAGGCGTGAGCCACTGCGCTGGTTTTTGTTTGTTTGTTTTTTTTTTTTTTTTTTTTTGAGACAGAGTCTCCCTCTGTTGCCCAGGCTGGAGTGCAGTGGCTCGATCTTGGTTCACTGCAACCTCCACTTCCCATGTTCAAGTGATTCTCCTGCCTCAGCCTCCCAAGTAGCCGGAACTACAGGTGGGCACCACCACGCCCAGCTGATTTTTGTATTTTTAGTAGAGACGGGGTTTCACCATGTTGGCCAGGATGGTCCAATCTCTTGACCTTGTGATTTGCTTGTCTCAGATTCCCAAAGTGCTGAGATTACAGGCGTGAGCCACTGTGCCCCGCCTAGATCTTAAAATAACAACTTGAGTGTTTTCCATGGCTCTGTTGGCTGACCAGGGAGTTCTGCTTCATCTGGTGGTGGCTGGGGATTTGGAATGGCCTCACTCTCCTCCTGGCCCTGGCTGGGGCCTCAGGTCGCTATGTGGCTGTTTGAGATTCCTCACAGCTGGATTTTCCAAGAAGGTGCATTTTAAGAGGAAGGACACAGAAACTGCTGATCCTCTTGAGGTTAGAGCTCAGAAGTCCCAGAATGGGCTGGGCATGGTGGCTCTCACCTGTAATCCCAGCACTTTGGGAGGCCAAGGGGGATGGATCACCTGAGGTAAGGAGTTTGAAACTAACCTGGCAGGCACCTGTAATCCCAGCTATTCGGAAGGCTGAGGCAGGAGAATTTTCTGAACCTAGGAGGTAGAGGTTGCAGTGAGCTGAGATCACGCTATTGCACTCCAGCCTGGGCAACAAGAGTAAAACTGTCTCAAAAAAAAACAAAAAAACAAACAAAAAAAAACAGGCCGGGTGCAGTGGCTCACGCCTGTAATCCCAGCACTTTGGGAGGCTGAGTTGGGCGGATCACAAGGTCAAGAAATCGAGACCATCCTGGCCAACGTGGTGGATCCCCGTCTCTACTAAAAATACAAAAAATTAGCTTGGTGTGATGGTGCGCTCCAATAGTCCCAGCTACTCAGGAGGCTGAGGTAGGAGAATCTCTTGAACTCAGGAGGCGGAGGTTCCAGTGAACCAGGATTGTGCCACTGCACTCCAGCCTGGCGACAGAGTGAGACTCCGTCTCAAAAAAATAGTCCCAGAATGTCTCTTTTGCCTCAAGTGATGCATTTTTTGCATCTATTTATCAATGGAGTCGTAGAGTTAGCCCAGATTAAAAGAGATGAAGAATAAACTTCATTCACTGGTTCTGTGACTTTGGGCGTAGACACGAATTGGACTCAGTCCTGGGGCTGGGTTCAATCTTTACAAAGATGTAAAGAGATACGAAGTGGGTCTCCTTTGTCTCTGCCCCACCTCAAAAAATGGGCTCATCTTGAGTCCTCGATAGCGGGACAGTTTGGACCAGATACTCTTCCACGCTGCTTCTAGCCCCGATGGCCTTCAGAGCCCACACTTATAGCCCCCCAACCACAGAACCAAGGTCCAAGGGTCTGGCCCAGACTCTGCCAATTTGGCAAAGTCCAGCTTTTGGTCAGGGGCTGACCTGGGAAAGCCAACCCTGAAACCATGGCCAAGTGGTGGCAGAGCTGGAAAAGGCATTTCTCCCCAGAGGGGCCAGTTGGACTAGAAAGCAAGGGCCGAGAGTCCACAAGCTCCCGTGGGCTTGGTGCCGTCTACCGGGCTGTAGGAAAGAGGCTCACATGTCAGCACCTCTGCGCCCCCAGTTTGCACCTTTCAGAAACTCTAGCACCTTTTTAAACCCAAAGGCCACACCAATACGGAGCCCGACAAAGTCCGATATCAAAGTCAGAGCTTGGCGCTTGGGGTTTGAAGTGAGAGCCAGACCTGAACCAGGGGTGGAAGGAGAGTAAGGGATATTTCCTGCAGCCCAATCCCAGCCACCTCCTTAGTTCCAAGAAGGGCTGGCTTCAAGCCGGCTCCGGAGGTCCGGGGCCCCAGAGCCCACAAGCGCCCCTAGTGGACTTGGTGCAGGATTGACCCCTCAGCCCACTTTAAGGCACAGCCTAGCCAGCCAGGCTGAGTCACAGTGAAGCGCCCCTTGTTCCTGGTCCTCTCTTCTGCCCCACGCAGCAGTGAGCAGGGCTGCAGGTCCCGCCTCCTGGCTCTGCTCCAGTCCTGCCCACATGACAACCCCTTGTTCCTGGAGAGGGGACCCAGGATCCAAGGCTCAGCATGCATCCTGCCTGCTCCCTCAGCCTTCCCAGCCTGCAATGACCCCGTCCCATCTAAGCAGTCCACTCCCTCAGCAAGTCAGTCAAGTCCTGCTCTGAGATGATTCTTCTCCCCTGCTGCCTGTACTTGAATCGCAGGTGACATGTGGCCAGTGAGGCCAAGGAGAGAGGCCTTATAGAACCCAGCCCTGTTGGCACCTCGAGATTGGACTGTGAGAAAATAAGTGTCTGTGTAAGCCTCCCAACCTGTGTGTTCTCTCAGGTCACGCCCAGCTAAGACACCCCAGTCCAGGCTGCCCTCACCCTCTTGCCACCCCACTCTGAAACTGACATGACCAGGCTACCCGCTGGCTTAAAATCCTTCAGTGTAGTCCCCACAGCCCCGCTCGACATGGAGCTAGCTGGCCTCCGCACCTGCTGTTCCCTCTCCTGCTTCCGCCCCGCCCTCCTATCTCCCTTACCTGGCCAGCCTCTCCTCCTCCAAGTCTCAGTTGAAGCCTCTTCAGGTGAGTCTAGATGCCCTTTTTATACCTCGTGATTCTCACCACTGGCTACATATTAGAATCACCTGGGAGATTTAAAACACATCCCAGTGTCCGAGCCCCACTCTCCACCAATGGAATCAGAATTGCTGGGGTGGGGTGGTTTTCAGAACCTCTCTTGTACATTCTAGAGGCTCCCTAGGTGCCATGAGCCCAGCACTCCCCTGTAGCCAGCGTCTGATAGGTGCTGGTGAAACATCTGCTTAGTGGGTGAATGCAATAGATCCACCCTTGGCCCCCAGACTCTTTATCCCGCCTGGCTAGACTCCAGCCCTCCCCAATTCCCCTCTCTGCCCACCTCCCAGCCATAGTACCCTGACAGGGCTGTGCTTTCTCCAGGTCTCCTCCGTATGGCAACTTAGATCCTGCAGTCCTCTGGGGCTCTGTTGAAAGGCCCCTTCCTTGGGAGGAGCCATACCTGATGCCGAGTGGGTTCAATCCACTTGCCCCCAGCTCCCGAAGCCCCCCATATCTTTCTCTTGGTATTGCACATCACCCTGGAGATCAGTTGTGTCTCTCCCATCCCCCAGGAGCATGGGGACTTCACAGGGCAGAGGCCTTGCCTGTGCCAATTCCCAGTTGGCACACACAGTGCTGCTCGATAGACGATGCTGGTGGGTTATGATTTCTGTGCTCAGATATTTTCCATCCATTCATCTGCTTTGGCCTGGGCCTAGCAGATGACCCTAAAGGGCCCTCTAATTGAGGGCCTGGTGAGTCGATGGAATCCAACAATGAGACACCTTTGCAGGTGCTATGACCTCAAGGGGGCACAGGGATGACATCATTTTTTAATAGGACTGTAAGGAAATGTTCTCCAAAATAAGTGGATGGGGAACACACCTGTGCAGAGGGTGCAGTCTCTACACACAGCAGTGCTCACTCCCCCTCTCCAAGATGGTAAACTGAGGCAATTTTAAGGACCTCTTTCAATAGGTGTTATGAGTCGAATTGTGTCCCCCCAAAAGATATGTGGAAGTCCTAATTCCCAGTGCCTTGGCAAGCTTATTTTGGAAATAGGATCTTTGCAATGTAAAGACCCCGTTTGTAATCAAGTAAAGATGTAATCAAGTAAAGTTAAACTCAAGTTTAACTGGGCATCCTGTATTTTTTTTTTTTAAGACAGTATTTTAACTCTTGTTGCCCAGGCTAGAGTACAGTGGCATGATCTCGGCTCACCACAACTTCCGCCTCCCGGGTTCAAGTGATTCTCCTGCCCCAGCCTCCCAAGTAGCTGGGATTACAGGCACGCACCACCACACCCAGCTGATTTTTTGTATTTTTAGTAGAGACGGGTTTCACCACGTTGGCCAGGTTGGTCTCAAACTCCTGATCTCAGGTAATCCACCCACCTCAGTCTCCCAAAGTGCTGGGATTACAAGTGTGAGCCACTGTAATGGGCATGATGCATGCCTGGCTGCATGCCGTATTTTTACTTGCTAAATCTGGCAGCCCTAGTTGGGAAGGAAAGAAGCGTATTAGGAGGAAGGAGGGAACTGGCTAGGTACAGTAGCTCACGCCTGTAATCCCAGCACTTTGGGAGGCCAAGGTGGGCGGATCACTTGAGCTCAAGAGTTCGAAACCAGTCTGGCCAACATGGTGAAATCCCGTCTCTACTAAAAATACAAAACTTAGCCGGGTGTGGTGGTGCGTGCCTGTAATCCCAGCTACTTGGGAGGCCGAGACGGGAGAATCTCTTGATCCTGGGAGGCAGAGGTTGCAGTCAGCCGAGATTGTGCGACTGCACTCCAGTCTGGGCAGTAGAGCATGACTCCGTCTAAAAAAAAAGGAGGAAGGAGGCAATAAACATCTAAGATGACACAACACTCCCAGAATTTGGAGGTGGCACCCCCTAAGCCAGGAGGCTGTGTAAGTCCAGTGAGTGGGAAGCTGTCTGCCCTCCCGGGAGAACGCATGGCACCAGGGCCTGCATTGGGAGGTGGAGGGCCTGGGCCACCTGTGAAGCTGCTTCCATGCCTGGAATCCCATAATAGAGGAAGGGCCAGACAGAGGGCGGAAATCCAGGGGTCTGGGTGACTCAACTGGGGACCACCTTGGGACTTGATGGTGTGGCAGAGACTGCACTGGCCAGTCCAAAGTCAGGTCCGAGCAGAGGCATTGGACTGTCACCCTGGGGAGCCACAGTGGCAGACATGGAGGAAGCATGGCACTGGGACCCCACTGGACCCCTAGGAAGACCTCAGTGGAAAAGAACATGGTCACGCAGAGGACACAGTTTCCAAATATCATAGCCCTGTGGCTAGAATGGTGGCATTACAGAGGCTGCTGGGATCCACGTCTTCTCCCCAGGGACTGAAGGGTGACACCACCCTCACTACACCCTGTCCCTGGGGGTGGCACCAGACACCCTGGGAACCACAAACTTGGTTGGGGATGGGGGACTGCTCTTTGTACAGGACACCATCTGTCCCTGTGAGCCCTGGAACCAGGTCTCCTCTGTCCACCCTCCCCCAACCACAGAAACTCATGGTTCAGTAGGGCGAGAAGAGTAAACTGTTTATTTACACCTTGATCTGTACAGTAAAGCTCCCTGGGAGGAGCGTGCCACCTAGAGCCTGTTCCTATAGGGTAGAAGCAGGCTGGAGGCAAAAAGCCTGGACCCTGGCCAGCCTCAGGGCCTCACCCCCCACCGTCCCCACCCTAGGGCCCACAGGGCAGGTCCCACCCCAGCCCTAAAGCTAAGCCTGTTTCCAGACAGAGTCTCCTGGGGCATAAAACTCAAGTTGAATCCCACAGAATCAGAGCCATCCAACAAACCCTTGGGCATGAGGCCAAGTGTGGAGTTCATTCCATATAGGCCCCAGAAGACCAGCAAAGAAAGTGGGAAGAGCTGGAAGGGGGCCCACAGCTGTGAGTCTTCCGCAATGCATCGTCCGCTCCCTGACATCTGTTGGGTATTTAATGGCACTCTGGTCTGAGCACCTCAGTAGACAAGGAAGGGAGGGGCAGGTGTTCACAGCAGTCAGGGGTAGCAGCTAAACGCCTCTTCCTTCTGCCCAAGTGGGGCCCACAGCTGTTCTAAACCCAGATGTGGTGGCCCCAACACAGAACCAAGGCTGTACACCAGGAACCGTCGACAGGGCTTCCTTGGGGGGTAGAGACGGTGCACACACCGAGCAGCCACAGGCCTGTGACATCCCTGCTGGGACCAGAGCCCCAGGTTAATGAGTGACACTCAGCCGGACATCACTATCAGTGTAGGAAGAGCTTTGTGGGAGACGCTGCTTTATACAAACTTGCACTTTTCTGGAATGCGAGCCTCCTAAACTAGCTGCAGGCTGGAGGAGGGACTCAGTGGGTCCAAGTCCCCCATGCTTAAGACAATAATGAAAGATTCTGCACAAAGTTACCCAGTCTGTAGGCTGAGTGAGGGCAAGTGGGGCCTGATCCTTGTGGATAAACATGCCCGGGACAGCTGGCCTCACATGGGGGAGGCACGTGGATAAAGTACACATTTACAGGGCCCAGGAAAGGCCACGGAGACGAGATGATGTAGAAAGGAGGCAGTGGGCGATGTGGAAAATCCTGTACAGTGGCGACGGGGAAGAAAAGGCACAAGGACAAAGACCCCAAACCATGCAGACGAAAACAGCCTGTGCAGCACAGCAAGCAGGGGGCAGGGTCACCCTGGGACAACAGCACTTGGATTCTGCAGGAGACATGGCCTGGGTGGCGTCCCCAGCTGGTGGCTCCGGAGCAGACATCTCTACCTTAACAGATGGGGAGAGGAGCAACCTACGAGGTCAGGGCATGAAGGTCCTATGGGAAACCTTGCCTGGTAAGAATGGTGGCATAACGCTTCCCCTGGGTCTACACTTTTAGAAACAAATCTTTCTAGAAAGTGGCCCATTTTCTCTGGTGGGCAGCAGAGAATATGGCAGAAGGGCCTTGGTGCTGTCCTGCCATGCAGGGAGGGCAGAGTCCTGTTTCTAGCCTCTCCTGCTTCCTCCATTCATTGTGTGCTCAGGGCAGGAAGTCAGGACCCAGTGGGTCCCTAGGATCAGGGCTCAGTCTTACTAGCCAGCAGCATCACCCTGGAGGGGATTTCCTAGGTCCCAAAAGGAGGGCCAGAGTCTGGGAGGAAGGACTGTGGCGAATACAAGAGCTGAGTCCTAGGTGGTCCGTTTCCTTAATCTAGAATCCACGACAGCAGCCCTTTAAAAAGTGTCACTGTGGATCTACCAGGCAACCAAAGTCATTTTCTTGGCATGGTGACCATGCGAACTTTCCTGGTACAATTTTTTTTTTCACTTCACAGCCTTCAGCTTCATAATCATATTTTTAAAAATAAAGACAGAGTTTCACCATGTTGTCCAGGGTGGTCTTGAATTCCTGAGCTCAGGCACTCTCCCCACCTTGGCCTCTCAAAGTGCTGGTATTACAGACATAAGCCACCGTGCCCAGCCTAGAGTTACTTTTAAGTTTAAATTTGCTAATGTGTTAACCCCACATACATAGCGCATAGAAAGAGGGCTTCATTTCTCCCAATTTCACCTGGCCCCCGGAGGCTTCTGCTGACTAAGTCCTCATTGGAAGCAAGAAGCTGTGCTCGTGCCCCCAGAGACCATCAGCACCAGTGGACTAGCACCTGGGGTGTCCAATGTGTGAGTGGGATGCCGGTTTGGCTAACAGGGAAAGAGCTGGGGACTCCCTCATCAACCCAGTCAGGAAACAGACCACAGGCAAAACCCGCAAAGACAGTATCTCCTCCTGCTCAGCTATGTAAGTAGGTGGCAGCTGTTTCAGAGGCTGCTTTCCGGGGGACAGCCCCACCTGTCAGTTTCCTGCTGACTCTGTTCTACCTGCTCTTTGGAATGAGCCTGTAGCCAGTATTTCCCAACACGTGCCACCCACTGACTCCAGAGGCAGCAGGCCAAGGTCCTGCCCACCCACTCCGGTCTGTTAACCTCCAGGCTGGTGAGAACAGCTGGATCCACCAGCCCCTGAAGGCATCTGGCCTCCCATCATGCAGGCCAGGACCATTCAACAACATAACAGGAAAAGGTACCCTCCCAGCAGGAGAGCTCGCCGTCATTCAGCCCTGGCTTGACAAGCCCAGCAACCACTTCTACCAGTTTCCTCTACCTGTGGCCAACGAAATTCTAGGACAGGGGAGTCTCAACCTCGGGCTGCATATCACCACCACCCAGGGAGGTCTTTACACATCCAGATGCCTGGACCACACCCCACATCAATTCAATCCGAACCTCTGGGGGTTCAGCCCAGGCATCAGCAGCTTACACATCTCCCCAGGTGATTCCAACGCACAGGTGAGCCCACTGCTTCAGGCCTTCATGCAGGTTCTTGAGCTTGGTGTTTTATTTTTGATAGAGACAAGGTATCACTATGTTGCTCAGGCCGTTTTCAGACTCCTGAGCTTGAGCAATGCACCTGCCGCTGCCTCCCAAGTGCTAGGACTACAGGAGTGAGCCATCACGCCTGTCCTGTTCAGTGGGTCCAAGCCCCCCCATGCTTAAGACGGTAATGAAAAGGAATTTCCCTGTGACAGTTCTCAAAGAAATCTACCAATTTAAAATAAAATAACCTAGGGTTAACTTTGGCCAATTCAAAGTTGAAAGAAAAAAGCTTTTTTTTTTTTTTTTTTGAGACGGAGTTTCTCTCTTGTTGCCCAGGCTGGATTGCAATGGCGCGATCTCGGCTCACCGCAACCTCCACCTCCCAGGTTCAAGAGATTCTCCTGCTTCAGCTTCCTGATTAGCTAGAGTACAGGCACACGCCACCACGCCTGGCTAATTTTGTATTTTTAGTAGAGACAGGGTTTCTCCATGTTGGTAAGGCTGGTCTGGAACTCCCAACCTCAGGTGATCCGCCTGCCTTGGCCCTTCAAAGTGCTGGGATTACAGGTGTGAGCCACCGTGCCCGGCCCGAAAAAATTTACTAGAAATTTCTTAAAGCCTCTCACCACATAGAGACTAGCTGAACCAGAAAGCACTTCATTTCCTACTAGATACTGTATACAAAGCTCACTCCTGGTTCAGCTAATTTTGTGTGGCTTCCAATTGAACGCAAGGGCAGCTCAGGGCCATGTAAAATCTGAGTCTACTACAGAAACCCTTGCCCCACCCAAAAAACACCTCTAAATTTCAGGTAAATTGCTGCTAATCCCTACTTTGTAGGATTGCCAGGTTTAGCAATAACCAACCAAAAAAACAAAAATAAATAAACCCCACGCGGGACACCCAATTAAACTGGAATCACCTGAGTAGCTCTTTAAAAACTTCCATGCCTGGGCTACACTCACAACTAAACCAGGACATCTGAGGATTCAGTCTAATCATGAGAAGTTTTTAAATCTCTCCATTTAAAAGATGCCTATAATCCCAGTGCTTTGGGAAGCTGAGGCGGGAGGATCACTTGAGGCCAGCTGCTCGAGTGAGACAACACAGTGATATCCTGTCTCTACAAAAAAATAAGAAAAATTAGCTGGGCATGGCGGTACCTGCCTGTAGTCCCAGATACTCGGGCATTTAAGTCAGGAGGATCTCTTGAGCCTGGGAGTTCAAGGTTATCCTGAGCTGCGATCATACTAAGACTACACTCCTGCCTGGGCAACAGAGCAAGACCCTCTCTAAAAATAACATCGTCCTAAGTACTGGGTGGAACATATTCTAAAATTATTTGCCCATCTGAAATTCAAACGTAACTGGGCATCCTGTCTACTACCTTGCAGCCCCACTACTGAGGGGTAAGGGCAGAAACAGAGAGATCAGGCTCTCCATCCCTACCACCAAGGGCTCTGAGACCTGCCAGGGCTGTGGAGCTGGAACCCCTGGGGCATCTGCCCTCAAGCTAGCTTTTGAGCCCAGAAGGATATTTTTACAAACATACATATCTTTAAAAGCCAAGCCGACAAGCCAGGCTTTACAAGAAATGTATTCTGGCTGAAGAAAGTTGAGGTGTGTGTGAGCTGGAATTCAGCCCCTCATTTAAAAGCCAGCCCTGTTCCAGAGGACCCTCTGACGCTGCACCAGGTTGGGGTTGGGGTTGGGGTTGGGGGGGCGGACTTTAGGACTCAGGCCGCCTCCCGGAGCCTGTTCCCATGGCGCCCCCTAGAGGGAGGAGCCGGAAGCATGCTGCAGGCTGCCAGCTGCTTTCTCCGGCCTTCCCGGGGCAGAGACTCTTCTTCCCAGGCTGTGTAACCCAGGCTGTGCAGCCTTCTCTGAAATTTCAAGTAGCCAGCAGATAACATTTTACAAATAAAAGTCATCCCTGGGGGAAGGCCCCCACGGACCAATACTCCCTCCAACCTAACACGGAGACCAAAGCCATCTCAGGATCTGTCTTGTTCCTTTCCTTGGTGGCTATTCTTTCCTATTGGCAAATTCTCAAGAGACCCTCTCCTCCTGCCTTCTTCCACTGCCTCTTCGCAGACCCTCGGGGGAGCCCAAAGAGACCCCCGTCTTAAGGAACTGAGAGACTCCTAGAAGACCGACTGCCTAGCCTAGTCTTCCCAGTGTGGATGGCTCCAAAGTCCTGGGTCAGACCAATGTGACCCCACTATTTGCAGCATGAAACTGGATTAAAAAGTAGCCACAGGAGCCAACAAACGCAAACACTGAATGGAATGGAATGAAGGCTGGTCCTGGCCACAACCCTGCCTTTGTCATGCAGGGGTCACACCCAAGTCCCCAGATCCCCTCCTCACCCTCACTGCCTTCTCTTCTCTGCTTCTCCTCCTCCACTGACCATCCCAACATGCCCAAACCTTCCTTCTCATACCTAAGATGTGCTGAAGAAAACAGGAAACTGCAGGGGAAGAATCAGACCACACACATTTATATATATTTGGGTTAAGAAAATGAATCACAAGCCATATAAAATCGAGATAGATTGGAAAACTCTAGGTACCATGTCTACTCCCAGCTGCCTAGAACAAAAGATCCATTAAAAATCCATGGTGTGAATTTCTACCACGGGTCGGAGGATGGAAGACTAAGGTTTTCCCGAAACTTTCCCACCCGCCTCCTGTCAGTGCTGAGAACCAAATACAGGTGTGTTTCTACACACTGGAGTGAAGCGGTCTTGCTGCCACACAAGTGGAGCCCAGAGCTCAGATTCTGAAATCCAAATCCAAGGCTATCACCAGGCTGCGTGGAGAATCAAGATAGGGAGCCAGGCAGACAGTCTCTCCATGCATCCATCTTAAGATGCAGCCATGGGAAGGAAACTGACCAGGATGGGAGCTGTGTTCCTCCCCAGAAAACCATTTCTTTGGTTGCCCGATGTCAACTCCTGCCTTAGACACTCCATCCCAAACACTCTTTTTCTCCTTTGTTTTTATCCCTTCCTGTTACACCCAGTGAATACTGCTTCATTGTTTTAAAAACCAAACCAAAACAGCAAGTGGGAGGTAGGTAGCATGGGCGAGGGGTGCACGAACTCTGCAGGATGAGGATGCCCGCGCCATCTCCTCTGAAACCTGAGTCCTGTTCACACATCTGTGCACACATCACAGAAGGCTGCCGGCTGGGGGCCACGGCCTTTGGTGGGGATCCCATCTCGTGGACCCTCCAGATGCCCCTTCATCCTCTCTTTGCTTGAACAGCGGGGTCTGAAAGGTGGCCAAAGAGCTGGCGAGGACACAAATACGGGGAATTCAAACTCCCGGAAAAGATCATGATTTTGCTCCCACTCCCAGTGGGACAAGGAGTGCAGCGAAAGAGCCCATCGCACTAGAGTGAATGTGAATCCTCATCCCCAGAGGTAGAATCATTTTACCCAGTACCGGAAACATGAGCTTCCAGTTCTTGTTTTTACAGTAACTCCTGATAGCAGACCTCACCCCCTCCCACTTCCAGTACCCTCTGCCCCTTGCAAAGGGGCCACAAAGTGCATGCACGGCTGACCGTGTGGACACTACCCACAGCCACGGCCACTCACCCCTCGCTCACGCACACAGCCTCCCCACACATACACGGGTACATGTAACGCATCGTGGCCAGAGACATTTACAGTGTGAGTTTGAGGCCCGGCCGAGGCCTGCATCCTTGAGCAGGGTCCGCCCCTTGGTCCCAGGGTCCTGAGGCTGCTCTGCAGCCAGCCCTGTGCCTTAGTGTTTGATCTCAAGGATGGAGGGGTTGTGGTCTAGGATGGCGAGGATGATCTTGTCCATATACTGCCTCAGCCGGAAGTTGATCTCCTCCTGCTCCTTCAGGGCTTCCATTAGCTGAAGGGAATGGGAAAGACAGGTCAGTGGCCGGGCCTGGGATGGGGTGCAGGCAGAATTCAGATTCCCAGGCTTGGAGCAGGCCAGTGCCTGACAACAGAGGGCATCAGAGACCCTGAACAAGGCGGGCCCCAGGACAGCCTCAGCATTTGGATGCCAGGATGAGAGGCAAAGTGGCTCAGCCCCACCTGGGGAGTATGACAGATGCAGGTGGCCAGGCCTCACCCCTGGAGATTCCAATGGGGTCAGGTTGTAGAGGGGGCCAGGTGTGGGTAATTTTTGTAAAAGTAGAGAGCACTGGCCAAAGTCATTTAAAATCAAACTGACAAAGTCCCAGGGCCCCCTAAGACTCTAAAGGGCAGCTATCTCCTGCCTGGAACACCCTCCCACTCCCAGCCCCATGCTGCTCTTCTCCAGGGCAGTGTCCTTTAGAACATTGCTGATATGCTGCCTCTAGTTCTGGGGCTGGACCCAGCTCGTCTGGGAGCTCCTTGAGGCCGGAGGTCAGCTCTTCACCCTGTGTCCCAGGCCAGAGGGTAAGTCTCAGCGACAGAGTGTCTCATAATTCACGTTAAAATACAGCAGGGGCATTCTGGAGGCCTGACTGTTTATAACCACCCTCTGGTGTGGCAGGAAGGGTCGACTTTGGCTCTGGAGAGAGCTGGGTCCCTCTCCCTCCCTAGCCAGGAGGTACCGGGTCCACCTTCCCAGCTTGGCACCCGGAACTGTTCCTAAAGCTTCAGATTCATCGGGAGATTAAGTGAAAACACATCGCAGAAGCAGGCGCCGGAGTAACGCTAATGTCCTTACCCTCTGCGTCCGGAAGAGGGGAGGACTGACAGCCTAACCTGGGGTCACAGTTGATACACTCAGCTGGTGGTGTCGGCACTTTTCCGGCAGACCTAAGACCCACACTCCACTCTCGTCCAAACCTGCATGCCTTCCAGCACAGGCAGAACTCAGAGCTGACTCAACTTCCCTGGGAGCCCCCTGCCCTGCTCACAGCTTTGCCCTCTGTCACCTGGGGTAGTTGTAGATAGGACTCTCTGCCAGGCCCTGGTCGGGTTTTCTCACTCTGGACAGGTGGGGGCAGGGAGAAGGAATCACAGAGGAGGGGCCAGGCCCCAAAGCAGGAGCCGTTGGACCAGGTTACCTCATCCCGCGAGGCGGTGTCTATCTCTGCAGCCAGAGACTGGGCTTTGGTCTGGGCGGCAAAGAGGTTTTTTGCTTCGTAGAGGCTGAGACTCAAGATCTGTCCATTCAAGTCATCATTCTGATCCCGCAGCTTATAATTCTCCTACAGAGAGAAGGATGAAATCGACATCAACCCTAAGAGGCACCCACAGCCCACTGGAACCCACTTCTCCACATCTACCATCCCCGACCTGCCGCCGGCGACATCCTCACTGGAGTGCATCGCTCGCAGCCAGTTCCAGAGACCACAGATGCTGCGGCCTTTGCCAGGCGCTGGGGGGTAGGAGGGCTGGGTCTGGGTCCAGGGACCTGGCGTCCTGAGAGTTCACAGGGTTTGCAGAGGAGTTATAGCCCCACTCAGGGCAGCCATGGCTCCTGGCCACCCCTTCCTCTCGGGGCCCTGCACTGGGACACATCCCACCCAACAGCCCAGCCTCCAACACTGGCCCTTGCTGAAGGAAAGTGATGCTCGGGACTCTCTGGGCAGGCAAAACATGAATCCTGCTTGCTTGGAGTTGTCCCAGGGAGTCCCTCTCCTCTGAGCACAGGTGGCACCACCCAGATCCCACGTACCAGCCCCACATTCCAGCTTTTGCCTAAAGAGCCCTAATACTCACACCTGGGACCCTGGGAATCTGGGTACCCGCCCCAAGGCAGAGTAGGGCTGGGGTTTTAGGGCTTCTGTGGGGACACAGGCACCAGCACCTTTGCCCAGTGGAACTACTAGGAAAAAAAAATTTATGTTGTTTACTCTACCACCTGCAGGGTCAGGCACAGCTGATACTTCACCCAGCACCACTCCCACTGCTGCCTCCAGATCCACTCCCTCACCTGCTCACTCCCCCCTCCTCCTCCAGATCCACTCCCTCACCCGCTCACTCCACCTCCTCCTCCAGATCCACTCCCTCACCTGCTCACTCCCCCCTCCTCCTCAGGTCCACTCCCTCACCCGCTCACTCCACCTCCTCCTCCAGATCCACTCCCTCACCTGCTCACTCCCCCTTCCTCCTCAGATCCACTCCCTCACCTGCTCACTCCCCCCTCCTCCTCCAGATCCACTCCCTCACCTGCTCACTCCCCCCTCCTCCTCCAGATCCACTCCCTCACCTGCTCACTCCCCCCTCCTCCTCAGGTCCACTCCCTCACCCGCTCACTCCACCTCCTCCTCCAGATCCACTCCCTCACCTGCTCACTCCCCCTTCCTCCTCAGATCCACTCCCTCACCCGCTCACTCCCCCTTCCTCCTCAGATCCACTCCCTCACCCGCTCACTCCACCTCCTCCTCCAGATCCACTCCCTCACCTGCTCACTCCCCCTTCCTCCTCAGATCCACTCCCTCACCCGCTCACTCCACCTCCTCCTCCAGATCCACTCCCTCACCTGCTCACTCCCCCTTCCTCCTCAGATCCACTCCCTCACCCGCTCACTCCACCTCCTCCTCCAGATCCACTCCCTCACCTGCTCACTCCCCCTTCCTCCTCAGATCCACTCCCTCACCTGCTCACTCCCCCTCCTCCTCCAGATCCACTCCCTCACCTGCTCACTCCCCCTCCTCCTCCAGATCCACTCCCTCACCTGCTCACTCCCCCTCCTCCTCCAGATCCACTCCCTCACCTGCTCACTCCCCCTTCCTCCTCAGATCCACTCCCTCACCTGCTCACTCCCCCTCCTCCTCCTCCAGATCCACTCCCTCACCTGCTCACTCCCCCTCCTCCTCCAGATCCACTCCCTCACCTGCTCACTCCCCCTCCTCCTCCAGATCCACTCCCTCACCTGCTCACTCCCCCTCCTCCTCCAGATCCACTCCCTCACCTGCTCACTCCCCCTTCCTCCTCAGATCCACTCCCTCACCCGCTCACTCCACCTCCCTCCTCAGATCCACTCCCTCCCCTGCTCACTCCCCCTCCTCCTCCAGATCCACTCCCTCACCTGCTCACTCCCCCTCCTCCTCCAGATCCACTCCCTCACCTGCTCACTCCCCCTCCTCCTCCAGATCCACTCCCTCACCTGCTCACTCACCCCCCCTCCTCAGATCCACTCCCTTACCTGCTCACTCCCCCTCCTCCTCGGATCCACTCCCTCACCCGCTCACTCCCCCTCCTCCTCCAGATCCACTCCCTCACCCGCTCACTCCCCACTCCTCCTGATCCCACTCCCCCACCCAATGGTCTCCAGCTAAGAGAGTGCTCCTTGAAATGCAATCTTCTGGCTAGGCACAGAGGCTCATGCCTGTAATCCCAACACTCTGGAAGGCTCAGGTGGGAGGTTCCTCGAGCCCAGGAGTTTAAGCCTGGGCAATACATGGAGACCCCATCTTTACAAGAAAATAATAAATTAGCCAGGTGTGGTGGTACTCTCCTGTGGCCCTAGCCATGTTAGACGCTGAGGTAGAATTGCTTGAGCCCAGGAATTTGAGGCCACAGTGAGATAGGATCACACCACTGCCCTCCAGCAACACAGGACAACACAGTAAGACCCTGCCTCAAAAAAAAAAAAAAAAGGCTGGGCATGGTGGTACATGCCTGTAGTCATAGGTACTCAGGAGACTGGGGCAGGAGGATCACTTGAGCCCAGGAATTCAAGGCTGCAGTGACCTATGATTGTGCCAAAGCACTCCAAGCCTGGATATCAGAGTAAAATCCTGTCTCAAAAACAAAAAAGGATCCTTGGCCCAGGGTCTACTCCTGGGAGAACGCAATGCCTCCAGGCACTACACTCCAGCTGGGTAGAGGCTCATTCTCCACCCCAAGCTCCAAGGCAGAGAGCAGTGTCTGTTTCTTTATATGGCCATAAGGGAGAGATCTTCCGATTGATTTTCCTAAGCTGTGAAATGGGACAGCCAGACCTGACAAACGGGTTGTCAAGAAGTAGACAAACAGTGCTGCTACAGCTCCGGGGTCCCCTGCCACAAACCCTGCACAGGAAACCCAGGTGGTTGGCCTGGCCACCCCACCCCACTGGACACAGACCGCTAGACCCACCTGCTTGAGCCGCTTAACCTCATGCTCCAGCTCCACCTCTCGGGCCCTGGCACTGAACTCGCCCAGGCCAGAGGAGGCACTCCGCCCCCTGCCCAGCCGCTCGCAGTCCAGCTTGTACATCTGCAGGTGCTCCAGCTCCTTCCGCAGGTCCTCGATGAGCTGTGTGGGATAGAGGCAAGTTGGCAGGAGCAGGGATGCTGGAAGGAGCCCTGGTGCCTGCTGGCCTGAGACCCACCTCCTGCGTTGCCTCCCGCTCCTTCTGGAACTCCAGGCGGTTCTGCCGCAGCTTGTCCATCATGCGCTTGTATAGGTCCATCTCATCTTTGAGCCGCAGGCTGGTGTCCTCTAGACGGTCAGACATGCGCTGCCGCTCCTGCAGAAGGGAGACCCGGTCAGGGGAGGAGAGTTCCCAGAGAGGGCTAACCATGCCCTGGGGTCTGGTCAGCCATCCTCATGAGGCAGATGCACAGTGAAACCAGCTCCCTTAGAGGGAGCCCTGAGTCATGGCTTAGGGCCATGAGAAAGGGCCGGAGCCCTAAAGATTCTAGAAATACAACTAAAAACCTCAACCCTCTGAAGTCCTTCAACAATGCTAGATGCAACCTGAATTGAAGATGTTTGCCCAAAGAGAAATCTCTAAGACTAATTTTTCTCCATTGTATAAATAAATGCATTCGCTGTAGAAAATTTGGAAAATCAGAAATACAGAAACACAAGTTGTTATTCACCTTTTTTTCCCCCTAATCTCTTAGTGGGTAAGGGCATTTGTTTAGAATTTCAGAAGCTATGAACTGAAGGCCCCCGATGGCCAGCACTGCCTCTGTGGGTTCGACTCCAAGCCTGGACCTGCTGCTCACCTCATCCAGTTTCTCTGTTTGAGACTTGAGCCGAGTCACTGTTGTTCTAAGCTCTGTATTTTCTTCCTCCAATTGCTGCACCCTGGGGAAAGGAGAAAGATATATCTCAGAGACCTGGAATGGAGATGATCTCACAAGGGCTTGCCAGGCTGCAATGATTCTCTGCCCCCTGCAAGAGGGAGGATACCAGAAACCAATTGAAAGAAAGAATATGAATAATTATGTGAAAGACAATATAGCCTTGAGCTTTCCATCAGCCAAAGCAAAACAATAAAGATACTAAGTTATCATTTTTCTTTTTTCTTTTTTTTTTGAGACAGAGTCCTGCTCTGTTGCCAGGTCTGGAGTAAAGTGGCACAATCCTGGCTCGCTGCAACCTCTGCCTCCCTGGCACAAGCGATTCTCATGCCTCAGCCTCCTGAATAGCTGGAATAACAGGCATGCATCACCACACCTAGCTAATTTTTTTATTTTTAATAGAGACAGGGTTTCGCCATGTTGGCCAGGGTAGTCTCAAACTCCTGGCCTCATGTGATCTGCCCATCTTGGCCTACCAAAGTGTTGGGATTACATGAGTGAGCCACCACACATGGCCTTTATTTCAAGTGAAAACACTCATTATAGAGTAAGAACACAAGATTCTTTTTGGATGCGCATCTTTCAGATCCTGAAACCAAACGCGATGTTATTCTGCTAGATGGAGACACAGTCTTCCTGTGGCTGGCTGTGATGGGGCCCCTCCTTTTAGACTCTGTAATTTGAAGGCAATGACCATACTGGCTTTTCATTTTCCACCAACAGCATCTCATCCAGGGCTCTAATCTGAGTGCTCACTGCACCTGCCTCTGATGACCACAGGCAAGGGCTCTGACAGTAACTGTCCTCTGTGTTAGTGTTCACACAGGAACTCCGCAAGAAGACAGAGCCTGGCTGCTCAGGTCGGTTTTTTGTTTGTTTTTTCTGAGACAGAGTCTCAGTGGTGCAATCTTGGCTCACTGCAACCTCTGCCTCTTGGGTTCAAGAGATTTTCCTTCCTCAGCCTCCCGAGCAGGTGGGATTACAGGCACCTGCCACCATGCCCGACTAATTTTTGTATTTTTAGTAGAGATGGGGTTTCACCAGGATGGTCTTGAACTCCTGACCTTGTGATTCACCTACCTGAGCCTCCCAAAGTGCTGGGTCTACAGGTGTGAGCCACCGTGCCCGGCCTCAGATCAGTTTTAAATGATCCGAGAGGAGGTGCAAGTGAGTCGGGCCGTCGGCGGCACCAGAACTGAGCAGGGTCACCTCAGAACTGAGCAGTTACTTCTGCCACCGATTCCTGCAGACCATCCTGTTTCCGACCCACCACCTCTCCATCACTTCCGCCTCCACTGCCCTCTGGGCTCCCTTGGAGAGGCCCCCAGGCCAGGGCCAGAGAGGAATTCAGCCCCACCACCCGGAGGTGGCCCTGCACTGGTGGAGGTGGCAGGGAACCAAGCATGCGGCGTGACTCTGAGAATACCACCTGGGTATTTTCCATGAATGGTGCCCCCTGAGCTGTGCTAGGGGCATGTGTTAAGAGATGGTTCCTGAGGGCTGGCTTTCTGCCCTTTGGCCCAGATTCACACCGTCTTTTACCACCTCCCATGCCCCAGCCACCTCTCTTGGGCCAGCTGCTAGAGGTGAGCTGAGTGACAGCAGTCACCCTTAACTAGGCACCAGCCTCGGGAAAGAGATGCAAAACAGCAGCTTCTAGAACAGAGTCAAAATATAAAATGAACCCCTGCTGGGTAACTAAGCAAAGCAGGTCTCCACACCGGGAAGTTGGGAAGTCCCCTCGCCAAACCCAACAGGGCAGGGAGGTACCTGCCTGAGAGCCTAAGTCCCAGGCATTTGCTCAGCAGCCTACCGGCCACTAGGGGGGTCCCAGCAACTCCAGGAAGCCTCAGCAAGGAGACTGGGGCCTCGGGGGGCCTGAGGAGTGCCAGGGGCAGCTGTCCTCTCCGATGGAAGCCCAGGCGGCCTCCTCGGAGTCGGGCAAGGGCCATAAAGGGGCTTCACCACAGGGGCATCACCACAGTCCTCACCCATGGGCAGGGTCCTGACGACTATTGGCTCACCCTCCCAGGCAGCCGCTCTGTGGGGCAGACAGGGAGGTGACCCACTACGTCCAAGACCATGGAGCCAATGGGAGACCAACCCAGATCCCTAGCCCCGGGCTGTTCCTCGTCCTGCCTGCCTCACGTTCCAATGATGAAACTACAGGTACACCCAAGGCACAGCAGCCTCGTTCTCTATTCACCTTGGTTGGCCCTGGAGCTCCGGCTCAGTCCACCTGGGCTCAGGGCAGAACCTGACAGCAGGGGGCGCTCCAAGCCTGTACATTAGACCCAGCCCAGGTCCCACCCTTTTTTTTTTTTTTTTGGTTAATACCTCGTTTCTGGTTGACAGACATTTGTGTGGTTCACATTACCAAATGTGAGCAATGCTCCTGGGAACATTCTTTTTTTTTTTTTTTTTTTTTTTTTGAGACGGAGTTTCACTCTTGTTACCCAGGCTGGAGTGCAATGGCAAGATCTCGGCTCACCACAACCTCCGCCTCCCGGGTTCAGGCAATTCTCCTGCCTCAGCCTCCTGAGTAGCTGGGATTACAAGCACGCACCACCATGCTCAGTGAATTTTTTGTATTTTTAGTAGAGATGGGGTTTCACCATGTTGACCAGGATGGTCTCGATCTCTTGACCTCGTGATCCACCCGCCTTGGCCTCCCAAAGTGCTGGGATTACAGGCGTGAACCACTGCGCCCGGCCCGCTCCTGGGAACATTCTTTAGTGAACTTACTGAAACGCATGCCTTGTTACTACTGGGAAGGCTCCAGAGGCTGCCCCTTAGTCAGCCTCAGCTTCCCATTTATAGAAATGGGGATAGCACCTGTCCCACAGGGCTGCCCCAGGGTGGTAGGGAGGGGTCCCTCGAGGGAGGGGCCCCGTGGAAGGGCCCACCTGGCATTGAGCAGCTCCACCTCGGTGGCCTTCTCCCTCTCCAGCTTGCCGTAGGCCTCGCGGTGGCGCCGTGCCTCCTCCTCCAGCGCCTGCTCGGCCGTGGTCTCCTGATCCTTCACCATCTCCTCCAGCTCGTGCACCCTGAGGACAGCACAAGGGACAAGCTTTTGGGGCTAGCACCATTTCACCCCAACCCAGGCTGCAGCATGAGGGGCCCTGGGACCTGAGACCCTGAGTCGCTTGGGCCAGCAGCTTTCAGACAGATGAACAGGAACACCGCACATCTAGAAGGGGTGTTGGTCATACGTGCTGTGGAGGGGCAGGCCTGGCAGTCAGAAGGCCAGGCGCTCCAGGCAGCACAGGGAGGGCCAGCCCCCGCCAGTCCCTGCGGCCACACCTGGCTGGAACCGCCTTGGGCCTCACCTCTTCTTTCTGCACTCTTCCTTCCCAGCCACCCCTCTGATAATAATTCAGCTTATTGTACTGGGCACCTTGACTCCCAAAATAGGCACATCCTGGCTAATGGCCTGAAGTCTGCCCCAGACCTGGAAAAGGGCCAGTGGCATGTAGATGTGAGCACCCCCACTACTGACAGCCTGGGTATTTCGGTCTGGGGTACATCTCACTGGCAACAGCACCTCCACCAGGCTGATATTCTGGGGTGTACAAAAGGGCCCATACTTGGGCCCTGTGACAAGATGGAGGACCAGACCCCAAGTCAGGATATGTCCTGCAAGGGTCATACCATCTGCTGACAACTAAACCCTGCAGCCGCCACTGAAGACAGCATCAGAAACGTCAGGCTCAGGGGTGTCCATCGGCATCAACACTGGACCCTTCCTACTGCCCAGCTAACACTGGCCTGTCCTGGGAAGGGATGCAGGCTCCCATCACTGTGTGAGTGAGAGACAGTAGATCCCCACTCCCATCTTGGACCCGCCCTGTGGCTGCAGACCTCAGCAGGTGGAATCCTTTGGCCCTGGAGCCAAGGCCGAGCTCCAACCTGTCTCCCTGTCCTTAAGGTCCTGTCTTGGGCACCCTATGTGGACAGGGCCACGTGACAAGAGGCTGATGCATCACAGGCCCTCAGAGCTGCAAAGGTGTGAGGCTGCCTCCTCCCGGAGGCCTCAGCAAGAAGGACCCCCCACTTTATTCCCCAGAGTCACAGCCGAGCCCCCAGCGCTGCCACCTGCCTGACCTGTGCACCAGCTGTGTGTTCTCCTGCTTCAGCTTGCTCTTCAGGTCTCCGTTGGTCAGGCTGTCATTCTCCAACTCTGTCACTTTTTTTTCCAGGAAGCTCACCTGCAGCAGGGGGTCACATGGGGTGGAGAAGAACTCTGAGGCCACAGAACCAAGAACCTCGATGCCATGAGGTTCATGAGCAGGACCTCCAAACCACCATGTATCAGAGAATGGTCATGTGTAGGGTGGAGGGGGAGAGCATGTGACTAGGGCCACCTACCCCCAACTCCTGGGCAGGTACAAGGTCTCCCAAGTCCCCAGAAAGTAGCCAGAGTGCTCCCCACCTCCCCTGGGAGCACGCACACATTCAGTCCCTTCTCCAGCCACCTGGGCCCACCTTCTCTGTGATGTCATTGTCGCAGGAGTCAATGCTGTCTCGGAACAGGTCTTCGGTGCTGCCGTTGCTGCTGCTGAAATTGCTGCTGTGCATGAGCTGCCTGCAGGGGTGGAGGGAGGGCATCTGGCTGTGGGGGCTTTCCAGAGACAGAGGCCCACTCAGGCTACGCGCTAGGTGAGCATCTAGTACCCTAGGGGGTCTGCCCCTTTAAGAAGGCCACCCTCACTCAGCCCGAGAGGGAGAACACTGTGAACCCAGTGGATCATCCAACGCAGAGGACGGTGGACGGGCTGTACAGACCCGTGTCCCCTGGCAGACACAGCCAGTGCAGCACAGCTTCTCCTGCTGCCTCAGAGCCCTCTTCGCACCAGCATGCCGGCCTGCAGCTACCCAGGACCTGAGCTGGCAAGGGAGCCCCCTCCTCTTCCAGTGGGGAAGCCCCCGAGGAGGTAGCCCAGCTCCATGGTCCTGGCAGAGGGTCTGGGCCTCCTGAGGCTTGAGCCTCTCCACCAAGCTGGCTCCTGCTACATCTCTAGGAACTCTGGGGATGGCAAAGGCAGATAATTCACCAGGCCGTGCAGGGCAATAAGCTGGGGTGGGGCTGGGCCCAGGCACATGCCTGCTGAGCTAACCTGTGCCTGAGGCAAAATCCAGCTGCTACCCCCCCAGTTACATCCCCTTCCTACTCCCTGATAGGCAATAGCCAGGGTCTACACCAAGAGGCTGATCCACCCAGCTCCTGGGCCAGGGCCTGGACCCTCGCTGCCAGCTCCCAAAGCCCTGAGTGTGCACCTGGGGTCAGTCCACAGGAGGACCGGAGCAGAACCCCAGCAGTCCCCAGGAGTCAGCTGCAGCAGAACTTAACTGGAGCAAAGTGACCAGCCCCAGTGGCACACACTCACACCCAGATCAGGAAACCCGGGGTCTCTTTACTGAGTACAGCTGCCCGCTCCAAGAGGAGGGAGGGCACTGACAGCTGTGGGGTGTCCTGTCTCTCTCGGGGCATCCTTGGTCTGCCTGCCTGAGGTCAAGGTGACCTAGGATTTGAAGAAGGGATAAAGAGTAAGGAGAGGGCAGGGAGGAGCTGCCCCTCTGTTTTGGAAGTGGACACTGCCCTGGCTGCACTGCCCTGGGATGGCCTCGTTCCCTTCTGCCCTCGGCCACACGCAGGCACCAGCTGAGTCGGGCTGCTGGCATGGAGCCCTGGCCAGTGGGCAGCACAGGGACAGCACTCAAGGTGCCCTCCCCCAAGGCGGGGCCTTACCGTCCAAAGGCTGTGCTGGAGATCTTTCGGTTGGGGCTGGAGAGAGAGGGAGGAAACAGTTATTGAACAGAGGGGCCCTAGTCCACTCCCTTACTCTGTCCCTGCTGTAACACACCAAAACACAGGACAAGGCTCTTCCCTCCCACTGAAAGGAATTCACTAGTCAGCTTGGTCCTGAGAGAAAACAGACTGATATCCTGTGGCAGAAAAAGCCCCTGGATTAACCCCCTCTGAGAGCTCACACCTGCCCAGATAGCAGGGGCTGCCTTGCCTGCAGCTTCTCCCTGCAGGCCCTGCCTGGGCCTCCCGCCCCCCGACTGGGCCGGGCCTCACCTGTTGGCCTTCAGGTTTTTCAGCCGGGCTTCCAAGTCATTGAGCAGGTTGATTTTCTTGCAGCATTGAGAGCAGTAAACGTCCAGCAATTCACTGTTGTACACGTGCCGCATCTTCCTAGGTGTCTGCCCCGCACTGATTCATGAGGGAAAGGAATCACCACCTCAACTGCTGTCCAGTCTGGTGCCCTACGCCACCCTGCTGGGCTGACTTTACTTGAGTCCCTAGTACCTTCTTAGGGGGAGGGGCAGGGAGTGGAAATACAGCAACAGGTCATCCCTTCTCTAACACAAAGAGAAGCCAGTGAAGCATACCCATTTAACAGCTAAGGCAAACTGAGAGCTCTTTTCAGAGAAAGTGGTGGCTCAGGTGGGTGAGAAGGTATCACAGTAGGTCACCTGGAAGGACCCTTCAACACTGAGGTTCTAGGACACAAGACAACACAGAGTCCCGTGGCCCCCAGTGTGCAGCCTCCTAGGTCAGTAAATTCAGGAGGAACTCCTGACCCCCAATCAGGGTGCAAGGGCAGCAACCCCAGGCTCCAGGAGCAGAACTCAAGTAGCTCAGGACAAAGGAAACAGGCCAGCTCAGGACCCGGCCCGCCTGCCCCCTGAGGATATGCTTAGGTTGGTTCTACCACTTTTGACCTCAAATGCTATCCTAGACCAAGGGGCCACCTGGAGGACACCGAAGACCCCAGGTCGGAGTAGACGTTGGTCCTGGTCTCGTCGTCGGGGCAAGGGCTGCTGGGGGCACAGTCCACGTCGTCACCCTCCCCATAGTCTTCAAACTGCTCCTCGTTGCTGATGAGCGAGGTGGTAGAGTGTGTAGAAAGGTCCGAAGTTGTCATGGACGGAGTGAGGACCAGGGACCTGAGGGTCAGAGGAGGACTCATGGGCCCCCATCCACAGCCGCGGTGGGGAGGCTGACCAGGCATTTCCCTTTAACTGGCGCTACCGATCAAGTCTGTACCTCTTGACTTGTTTTTTTTTTTTTGAGACGGAGTCTTGCTCGGTCTGCCAGGCTGGAGTACAGTGGCACAATCTCGGCTCACCGCAACCTCCACCTCCTGGGTTCAAGCGATTCTTCCACCTCAGCCTCCTGAGTAGCTGGGACCAAAGGCATGTGCCACCACACCTGGCTAATTTTTGTATTTTTAGTAGAGACGGGGCTTCACCATGTTGGGCAGGATGGTCTCAATCTCTTGACCTTGTGATCCACCCATCTCAGCCTCCCAAAGTGTTGGGATTACAGGCGTAAGCCACCGCGCCCGGCCCTCTTGACCTGTTAAATACATTTTGGGGACCCTATCTAAAGGGAAACATCTTGCCACATAAACCGTTACTGCAGTTGAAATCAATTCTACCCATGCTACGCTAGAGTAGCAAAACATTGCTTACAACCTAAGTGTCTAGCTACAGCTAAACCAAATTATAATTATTAAATTATAATGCTAGTAAATTATTAAATCGTGGAATATCAAATCGTTGTTGAAAGATGTGTTAAAACATTGGGAGTAATATAGAAAATGAATATAAATATAAATAGATCTAAACTTTTAGCTACTGTAACACTGAGTATGGTTGTCCCTTGGTATCCGAGAGGGATTGTTCCAGGACCCCCCGTGGACACCAAACTCTGAGGATGCTCAAGTCCCAGGTATGAAATGGCATAGTATTCACATACAACCTATGCACATCCTCCTGCATCCTCTAAATCCTCTCTAGATTACTTATAATACCTAACACAATGTAAATGCTATGGAAATAGTTGTTATACTGTATTATTTTTTAAGTTTATCTTTTTTTTTTTTTGAGACATAGGCTCATTGTCGCCCGGCCAGAGTGCAGTGGCGATATCTCAGCTCACTGCAGTTTCTGCTTTCCAGATTCTAGTGCTTCACCTACCTCAGCCTCCAGAGTAGCTGTGAGTAGCCTCCCAAGTAACCTCCTGCCACCACGTCCAGCTAATTTTGTAATTTTAGTAGAGACGGGGTTTTTGTCATGTTGGCCAGGCTGGTCTCAAACTCCTGGCCTCAGGTGATCTGCCCACCTCGGCCTCCCAAAGTGCTGGGATTACAGGCTACTCCCAGAAAGCAGCACGGCCCCTCTCTCCATCCACAGCTTCAAAGGGCCCCATCAAGAACATCCGGACTCTGACATGTACTAGGTTGAACTACATGAAATTACCTTATTTTGAAGATGGAAATGATTAAAAGCTGTCAATTTTATATGGTTCAACCAACCCTGGAACCCCTCTCTTCTCTCCCTCCAAGTCCCTGCAGCAGCCATAACCATCACCTTCTTCTGGTAAGGGGCTGCCACTTACAATCCCCTCAGCTTCCTCAGCCACAGTGGTGGTGGCTTCCCACCACCCACAGCACTGTATTCCTCAAGAGTCTTGGCGAGGGCTGAAAATGGAAAGGAATCCTTTCTGCCGACACCAAAGTTAAAGATGACACTGCTTCCCTGGGAAGTCACTTAGGTCTTAATATTGCTTTTAAATAACATTTCTGATTATGGGAGTACATGCTTAATGTAGAAAATATAACAGAGTAGATGGGAGGTAATTAAAATGATCATTCTACCATACAGAAATAACTGCTTAGTTTTCTAGATTAATTTTTTCTAGGCATTTCCTAACATACATGTCTATGTTTTGTTTTTCAGAAATGGGGTCTTGCTATACTGCCCAGGCTGGAGTGCAGTGGTTATTCACAGGTGTGATCTCACTACTGATCAGCACACAAGTTTTGACCTGCTCTGTTTCTGACCTGGGCCAGTTCATCCCTCCTTAGGCAACCTGGTGGTGCCCCACTCCTGGGAGGTCATCATACTGATGCTAAACTTAGTGCAGACACCCACCCGATCGGCATTGTGCACTAGAATCCAGAAGATTCTCCTGCCTCAGCCTCCCAAGTATCTGGAACTACAGGCACGTGCCAATTGCCTGGCATAGGTTTGTGTTTTTAACAAAGCTGATCTTACGGATATCTTGCATATCTTTGCAACCTACCTTTTTTTTTTTTTAAAAAAAGACAGGGTCTTGCTCTTTTGCTAGGCTGGAATACAGTGATGTGATCACAGCTCACTGTAATCTTACATTCATGGGCTCCAGTGATTGTCCTGACTTGGCCTCCCAAAGTCCTGGGGTTACAGGTTGTGCCTGGCCACAACCTGCTTTTTAAAACAATGAGATCATATATCTCATATCATTAACTAGTCATTTAAAACTTGACTTTGGCCAGGCATGGTGGCACTTTGGGAGGCCAAAGTGGGTGGATTGTGAGGTCAGGAGTTTGAGACCAGCTTCACCAACATGGTGAAACCCGGTCTCTACTAAAAATATAAAAATTAGCTGGGCATGGTGACATGCACCTGTAATCCCAGCTAATCAGGAGGCTGAGGCAGGAGAATCACTTGAACCCAGGAAGCAGAGGTTGCAGTGTGCCGAGATTGTGCCACCGTACTCTAGCCTGGGCAACAGAGCGAGACTCTGTCTCAACAATAAATAAATAAGTAAATCTTGACTTTGTCTATAGGACTAGGACTGAAAATAAAGTAAAATTAAATTTAAAACCTTGACTTTGCATTGCTGCCTAAAATTCCAAATTTAGAATCTTCTGCTTAGAATCTTAGAATCTTCTGCTATTCAGAATACCCATGATGCTAATGCCTCTGACACAAATTTTGAGCACATTTCACATTTACTTCCTGGAGACACTTTCTAAGAGCCACATTTCTGGGCCAAGAGGCAAATACTAAGCTTCAGGCGGTTTTAACTCACTTGTCCTCTGGCAGAAACAGGCCCCCGAGTCCCCCGTCCTTCTCGGCGGGACTCCCAACAGACCCCTCCAGGCTCTGAGTGCTCTCCATGGGGCTGTCTGTGTCCAACTCCTGGGGGCCCTCAGGCGGGGCCAGCGTCATAGCCTCCTCCTCGTCCTCGGGAAAAAAGCCGGGCTCCCTGGGGATGAGCTCGCCATCAGCAAAGGTGGGGCCTGTGACGTCGATGCCCTGGGAAAGACAGAGGGGAAGATGAGTGAGGCCAGCTTCCCAGGGGTCAGTGTTCCAATCAGACTGCAAGGGCATCAGCCAGGCCTAAACAGCAGGGATTGGGTACAGGAGGCCCAGACCCCAAGACCCTAAGTGTGGGAACACCTGGCAGGTGATTAGTCCCAAGGACCTCTCATACTGGCTGACTCATGAGCATCTAGTGAGGAGGTGGAACTCTCAGAAATGGCCATCCACAAAGAAGGGCCACAGTCAGGCCAGCCACATCATTCAGGGCACCCTGGCACATCAAAGCCCCAGCTGAGGCAGAATAGGGTCTGGAGGCAGGGAACATAAGGTTGATTCACACTGATTTCCTACAGCTAAATCAAAGGAAAACCCCAACTTTCCACACCCAACTAACCACTTCCTTTGCATTCCCTGCCACCCCTCACCACCCTCCACCCCACCACCCGCACCCTCCACCTTTTCTGTCTGGCAGATGAAAACTGAAAGTATCTCTGATTGGTCCCTCCTGCAACCAATCAGGCTGGTCAAAGGTTGTCTTCATTTGCATAGGAGTATAATTTTGTAACTTCGCTTTAACCTCTGATCCATTGCTTTCCTCAATCAATCAGATGTTCACATAGGGTGTAACTTTGCAACTTCACTTCAGCCTCTGATTGGTCCTCTCCTGCAATCAAACTGATTGTGGGCCACTGCTTCATTTACATAGGGTATACACCAACTAACCAATGGGAAACCTCTAGATGGTATTTAAACCCCAGAAAATTCTGCAACCAGGCTGTTGAGCCCCTAAGCTTGGGTCTGCTCCCAACCTGTGGAGTGTACTTTTTTTTTTTTTCAATAAATCTCAGCTTTTGTTGCTTCATTCTTTCGTGTGTGTGTGTGTGTGTGTGCGCACACGCATTTTGTCTAATTCTTTGTTCAAGACACTAAGAACCTGGACACTCTCCACTGGTAACACCACCAGAAGTCTGCAGGAGGCCAAATGGCTTTGAGGCGGCTTCTTGGCGCTCCATGTAAGGGCACAGCCACACTGAATAGCTTTTAGGAGCAACAACCCTGGCCTAGTAGAGTTTGCTGCAACGTGGTATAGTGAAAGCTGCACAACTTGGGGTCACCCTCCATGACTCTGGGCACGTCACAAAATGTCTCTGAACCTCAGTTCTCCCCTGTAACTCAGAAATGGCAACAGAGCCTTACAGGATCACTGTGCTGATTCAATGAGGCTCTTCACATTAGCATCTAACACACAGTAGGGCCTCAATGAATAAACTCCAGTCAGAAGATGTGATGTCCAGCCCAGGAGGCAACCACCTATCTGGGCCCCACCACAGCCTTGCTGGGAGCAAGGATGCCAGGCCTCCCTTCTGAGCATTGCTTGTGCTGGGTCCAGGGCCCAGCATGATAATGGCATGTGTTAAGGACATCACACCTTTCGCTAAACACATCAGATAGAAGAGCTTTGGCTTAGTTCAGAGTTCACCCTAGACCCTAGGCAAACCATTTACTGGGGCTACTTCACCTCTGAGCAGGAAGGTACTTATCAGGTAGCACCACTTCTACCTGACCCATCAGAGATATCTGTTGCCAAGGTTCCTTGGTGTGCTCCTCAGCCAGGGCTGGCAGAGCACCCCATCAAAGGACCCTGCAGCCCCAAGACTGCAAGAAGGGCAACAGAAACAGGCTGTGAAAAGCCTCCTGGAGTCTCAGACAAATACAGGTTCAGGGACAGCTGAAGCTGCTGCTTGGCAACAGGCCTGGATGTGCCGCCCAGACATGTGCAGTCATCTGCTACCACCAGTGAGCTGGCAGCCCTCCTGGGGGGGGGGTCTGTCCCCACTAAAAGACCCCTGGGCAATTAATGAGCCTGGTTCCTGCCTGGGCTGTGACAGGCTAAGCACAAGATGCACCAATAATATCAGCACCAGCGAGCCAGGCATGCCAACAGTGGAGACTGTGGAGTCCAAGACTGTGTAATGAGAATCCCCCCAGGGTTCCCAGGGCCCTTTCCACCTACTTGTCACTAATCTGGTCACATGGTTCCCAACCTATCATATCTTGTGCCCTAAGCAAGCTCTTCATCTCCAAGCCTGAAGTTGTATCCCAATAGAAACAAAAGGAAACCAGCATCACTGAGCAGCCATCAGGCTCCAGAGGCCGAGTTGGGCATTCACCAACTTCATGACAGCTCTTCACAGTGGTGATCGTTAGCCCCATTTTACTGATGAGAAACAGAGGCTCAAAGAGTAGCTCATCAGCAGTCCTCCGGCCAGGGGGCAAGGGGCAAGGGGCCCTGCCTGCCTTTCGCAGCCACACACTTGATTCCATTTATCCTTGATGCCTCACACACTTTGTGGATGTTCAAACCTCATGGTGACAAGGAGAGCACAATTTATAGGGACACGTGACTATGACTCCTTAGCACGCCTCCTAATGCAGCAACTTCCACGACTGTCCACTTCACACCCTCACAGGACACCACGGATTAGGCAGGGACACCCAAGAGAAACAAGGCAGGAGGGAGACCCGGGAAGAACCGGGGCTCGGAGGACAACACGCCTGGTCTGTTCTTTTACCTGGCCACGAAGAACTGCAAACTCTTCACCGTCCTGGACACACGGGTAGGGAGTTTCCCCTTGCTGGTAATCCCTGCCCTGTGGCTCACACGTGAGCTTGGCAGTGCGGCAATGGCGTTTCTTCTGGTCTTCACCCCAGCCCTATGAGCTGAGCCTCCTTTCCCCTTTCTGTAGGTAAAGGGCCATGCCTGGGGCCATGTGGGAGTTCATAGCAGGGTTGAGACAGGGATGGGACTGTGTGTTCCCAACACCCACCTTTTCCCTCCAGCCAGGTCCTGAAGAGGCTGTGGCCCACCAGCTCCCAGAGGCAGGCAGAGGGCCCAGCGCAGACCAGTGTCTGTGCTCCTCAGGTGTCCGACGTGGCTTCTGGCCAACTTGGGTTTAGCTCACAGACACAAGGACACAGAGGCTGAGTGTGTGCCGGGCACTGCCCACTAACACCTGGCTCTCGCATGCAGTTGGGACCAGTGGGCCCTCTTACCCAACATCCACAGCAGCATCCTGCTACTCAAACAGATGGCACAAGCCCCTAACGGAGTGGAGGAAGGAGCCTCAAATGGTCTGGCTCAGGCACAGGCAGGGCAGAAGCAGGGGCACCAGGGTCCCACCTTCCCAAGAAGACCACCACCCCCTCAGGCAGGCTTTCAGCCTCAGACTGAGCAGAGGCCACATCTGCCCAGCCCTTCAGCAAGCTCCTTGCCGGTCTCACACACCTCATCCCTCACAATAGCCCTGTGAGAGCGCCCTGGGGTGGACAGGGCAGAGATCCGGGACTCATCGGCTCCGTCTGGCACCTGGGGAAGATGAGGCTCAGAGTGGGAGGGCAGCTGCCCCGAAACCTCGAAGTTCACAGAGGGCCTGACACGCCAAACCCTCACCCGCCTGGCCACACATGCGCACATATACTCTACAGCTTCTCTTAAAAATAGCTGCTTCCAACAGTAATCCCTTTTCATTCAACCCACAGTTGTTTGTTCAAGGCAATCGGAAATTTTAATTATAACTTAAAAACCATTTCTAGTAGTTTGCCCCCTAAATTCAAAGGCTATAAAGACAGCTTACTGCACACTTTGGTTAGTCCAGGACAGTCCTGGTTTGTGCCTGTCCCAAGACCCTCCTGCCCCGGGTGTGATAGTTGCCGTGGTTACCCTTGCTCCTCCCTGAGGGCTGAGGTCCCCTGCCCCAGTTCTTGTTTCCCCAGCCCTCTGGGAAAGGGTCTGGTGGAAGCCCCCACTCCTCCTCCCACTGGCCTGGAGGGAGATGCTGGAAGGTGCCAGAATGCAGCCTCTTTTCTCCTACTTGAGCCACCATTCATGGGCTGGGAGAACTCAGAGTCAAGCATATTAGAACTCTTGGTCAATTTCCCTTTTGTGTTTTAGATAAAGTTGCAGAGGAAAAGGAAGAACTCATCCATAATAAAAACATCACCCTCATAAGGTTTCCAGGCGGCCTGGGGTCACGGGCTTCTGCAGGCAGTGGGTTCCTCTCCAGACAGGCCGCCTTCAGGTCAGGGCCATGAGGAGCCCCCTGTTAAGTACACTTCCGAGTAGACTGGGAGTCATGGGAAAAGCCACCATCACCCCACCTCACTGCACTATGCTGCTCAGGACTCCCGGAGAGCTGCCCGCTCGCCCTGGCTGCACCGTCTGCTTTCTCACCACAGCAATGCTCACACAGGGCCAGCCCTGGAGGGCTGGCAGAAGTGGCGGGGCAGTGATGGGGCCCCCCCAGAGCTCGGTGGGCACATGTGCAGCGCTGCCACTAGATGGCCAGGGGTCAGCAAGTAAGGTCTGTGCCCAGGGCAGCTTCCAAGACTCTGCCTTCGGAGCCCCTGTTTCCTGCCCATTCTCTGCTGTGTGAAAAAGGCGTCCACACACAGCCGTCCAGTCACCACCCAGGGACCCTAGCATCAGCAACACATCCTGGCCAGGAGCTTGGCACGGTGTTCCCAGGGTTTGCACAGAAAGGCTGTGTCTGCTCTTTTGGGGACCTCTGCAGAAGGGTCAGTGTGGTGTCCTCAGGAGGCAGCAGCGGGCATCGTCTATAGCACAGTCTGACTCTCCAGGGCTCTGTCCCTCAGGACCCAGTGCTAGCCCTGAGCTCACAGCTCCCTGTCCCCTGGAGCACAGGGCCAGCCACCACAGGAAGGCCCACAGGCTTAGTTGGTACATGGCCACCCAGGCTCACTTTCTTCCACCTGTCCGGGACCCTGAGGCAAAGGGGGGCAGCGGACGCAGCATGTTCCTCCACAAGCCCCAGAAGGTCCCTGGAGGTGGACCTGGGTGAAGGCTCAGCTCTGGGGTCTGGTGGACTGGGTTTCGGTCCCTGCTGGCCCAGCCACTTACAAGCCATCTGACCTTAGACAAGTGAGCGCCTTTGTGAGCCCCTGGTTCTTTATCTACAGAATGGGGCCAGTCAATT